AAAAAAAAAAAAAGAGAAACTGGTAAAAGAGAATTTTGTGCCCTTAGCTAAGCCATAGGCTTTATGGTTTCGTTCCACCCAGCAGAATGCTCATACTTGGAATGAAATAATAATTTAAGTATCTGCCTTACTGGGTTGTTTTGAGGATTAAATGATTAAGTAGTGCATGTAAAAATATTAGAATAATGCCTGGCACACTCAATAAATGCTTAAAAACAAAACAAAACCCCAAACCCTGTCTCTTCTATTGTGGGTACTGTAATTTTAGTATATTTTATTTAAAACTCTGAAAGCTAAGGAGATACAAGGGAACAAGGCTAATAATAGCAGCTATCTCGTCCTCCTCAGAGTTCTTATCAGCAACTGGACTTTTTAAAGCTTTAAAAATAAAAGTTCCAGCAGCAACTGTTCTTGCTTTAATCCGAACTTGCTAGGAAAGGGTCTGCTTCTTGGGTTGTGAGAGGTGTTGGTTATATATGGTTATTGTTGGGCCTTCTCAGAGCAGGGGGAGTTTTCCTGAACAACTGGATAGTGGACTAGATTTTATTTTTACCTTTATTTTCAAAGCCTCTTCACCTGTTGTTATGATTTAGAAGTGTAAGCATTCTTTTCCCTACTGTAAAAATGGGAAGAGGCCGGGTGCGGTGGCTCACGCCTGTAATCCTGGCACTCTGGAGGCCGAGGTGGGAGCATTGCTTGAGCTCAGGAGTTCAAGACCAGCCTGAGCAAGAGTGAGACCCCATCTCTACTAAAACTAGAAAAAATTAGCCAGGCGTGGTGGCACGCACCTGTAGTCCCAGCTACTTGGGAGGCTGAGGCAGGAGGATCTCTTGATCCCAGGAGTTTGAGGTTGCTGTGAGCTAGGCTGACACCGTGGCACTCTAGCCTGGGTGACAGAGCAAGATGCTGTCTCCAAAAAAAAAAAGGGAAGGAAAAAAAAAACCAGGGCTTGAATATATCAGCTTCCCCAAATCCTCTACTTTTGACTACTTGAGTGCCCCAAGAAGCATAAGAAATCGGAGGATTATTTATCGCTCTTCTTCTGTAAGTTAACATTCAAGGAGACAGTTTAGTAGAGAGGAAAGGGCACTTTTCCACTAACTGGATGTGTGTGGAATGCTTGAGGCTTAGCTAAAACATTTATGCCCTCTCTGCTAATATCCTCATCTATGGAATGAGGACCCATAAGATTATCTGATCTGCCTCCTCTTTGAAGATCAATGAGAGGAAGTACGTGAAGCCCTACATGAGTATAAAATAAATGGAAATGGATAGAGATACTTTTGTTAGTTTCCCATTCTTCTTCCTCTCCAGGAGTCCCGACCTCTACATGTTGTACTAGGAAATGAAGCCTGTGACTTGGACTCCATGGTGTCTGCTCTCGCCCTGGCTTTTTACCTAGCAAAGGTGAGTACTAGGCTGAGGCAGGAGGATCAGTTGAGCCCAGCAGTTTGAGGTTGCCGCGAGCTATGACGCTGCTGCCTTCTAGCCTGGGCAACAGAGTGAGACCCTGTCTCAAAAAAAAAAAAAAGATGAGTACCTGAGTCCCTTAGAATTAAAAGATTTAGATTGAAGACCTAGCTCTGTCACTTACCAGCATTAGGTAAGTTAAATCCTTTAACTTTGCTGAGTCTCATGGCACTGTCTATAAAATCTGAAATGATAATATTTTACAATGTTGCTGTAAGAAATAAATAAGTATATATTAAGAATTTTTACACCATAAAAGTGATATTCAAACAGTTTATTCTTGTGTTCCATATAGGTATCAGTGACCTAGTATGTCTTCCTCTTGCCCAGGTCAGCTCTTAAGGACTAATAATCCCTTCTCTGCAGCATTGCATCTAGAACTATGTCTTTTCCATGAGTTTTCTTGTTGACCTTCATGTTACTGTTAAGAAGGAGGGAGGTCAAGAGTCTTCCCTTTATTTTCGTAGACTGGGTAATTGTGGCTTTGAGAAAAGTGGTAACTTACCCAAGCTTATGTTTCCTTTGGTCCCAGTAGTCTTGTTACCTTTTCCCGTCTATTCATTGTGATACCATCTTTTCACTTTCCTATTCAGACGACTGAGGCAGAGGAAGTCTTTGTGCCAGTTTTAAATATAAAACGTTCTGAGCTACCTCTACGAGGTGACAACATCTTCTTCCTTCAGAAGGTTAATATTCCAGAGACCATCTTGATTTTTCGGGATGAGATTGACCTCCATGCGTTGCACCAGGCTGGCCAACTCACCCTCATCCTTGTTGACCATCATGTCTTACCCAAGTAAGTAGAAGAGAATTAAGTTGATACTTACCATGTACCATGTTGGGCTCTGATGAGTGAGATATAAAGAGAGGAAGAAAGAGTTTTTGCTTTCAGGGATCTCATAGGCTAATCATAACTGAAGGGTCATATTAGATATAGAAAGTCAACAGAAAATATAGTCAATTCTCCAGTTGTGTGTATGTCTATGGCATAAAGACATACACCGTAACAATTTAAAAAAATAGAACATGGTGTGTTCAAACTAAAGGATAACTCAAATATCATTTAAATCTGCCTTTGGTATCATTATTTTAAGATTTTATGGCAGATTTATTTACTAGGGACCTTTGACAAATGTTTGCAACTATATTTTTAATTTTTTTTTTCTATGTATTTTTAGTTGTCCAATTAATTTCTTTCTATTTTTAGTAGAGACGGGGTCTCACTCTTGCTCAGGCTGGTTTTGAACTCCTGAGCTCAAACAATCCGCCCACCTCGGCCTCCCAGAGAGCTAGGATTACAGGCATGAGCCACCGCGCCCGGCCTTATTTTTAATTTTTAAAAGATTGCAAAAGTATTTCCTCCATAAACTCTTGTAATTTTAGAATAATATGTTATGGTAGAGTCTATAAATATCTCATTAGTATCTCTTTAACAAGTGTACACAGCTCTAATAATCCTATCCCTAATTTAGGACTGGAAAAAACTGCCAGAAGAACAACACAAGTATGAGACTTTCCTAAGCCTATCTGGCTCCTACTAGTATTAAAATGTATAATTTTTTCCTTGCACACACTATGGTTATAGCAGGACCTTGACAGAGGATAGCGTAAGAGCATTGATCCATCTACTCATTCATTCCATTAATAAACTTTTATTTAGAGGATGAAGGTGAGACAGAGTCCCTGTTCTCATGCTTTCAGTCAGGAAGAGGGAAGTAGGCAAACAGATCATTGTAATGGGTGTTAGAGTTAAGTGATAACTGACAGCGCTCGGGGACAGTAGGTACATGAAGGATGGGATGGTTCATTATACCAGAGGGGAGTTGAGAGCATCGGGAAAAGTTTCCTGGCAGAGTTGACCTTGATCTCAGCCTTGAAAGAGGACTAAGTGTTTGCTCAGTAAATGGAGAGGTTAGGAAAGGTGGTTAGGAAAGGCATTCCAGGCAGAGGGAAATAATAGAAGCAAATGCAGGCAGGCATGAAATAGAATGGTGAGCTAGGGCAACTGGAATTTGTTTTGCACAGCTGGAGCATAAAATATGAAGGAGAAGTAGAGCATGGAAAAAAGATGAGAGAGGTAGGCAGGAGGCAGATCGTAGAGGCTTATAGGCCTTTCTAAAGTGATTGGACTTTATTTTAGGCAATGGGGAACTATTGTAATTATATTTATTCTAGGCCCTAACATAATCAAATTTGCTTTTTTCAAATGATCATTCAGGCAGCTTTGTGAAGAGGGCTTAGGAGAGCTCTTGGTTGGAAGCAGGTGATTGGTTAAGAGACTACTGGAAAATAGTTCAGATGAGAGACATTGAGGGCCTAGCCCTAGAACAAGGCAGTAGCTAACAGAGAGAGGGTTGAAAGCAAGGGCATGAATAGGAATTGGGATAGAAGCCACAGGACCTGGTGACCTGTCTGGAATTTGAGTATTGAGTGGATTGAAGAAACAGGAGCGATTTAGTTGTTGGGTATCAAGGATATCAATTGGAAAAGCAATCCTAAAGGACAGCAAATGTGTGAATAAGATATTTGCAGTAGATGTTTCACAAAATTCACTTATATGCTATTTAAAGATGACTTCAGTTATAACATTAAAGAATTGAGAAGGCCGGGCACGGTGGCTCACGCCTGTAATCCTAGCACTCTGGGAGGCCGAGGCAGGCGGATTGCTTGAGCTCAGGAGTTCGAAACCAGCCTGAGCAAGAGCGAGACCCCGTCTCTACTAAAATTAGAAAGAAATTAATCGGACAACTAAAAATATAGAAAAAATTAGCCGGGCATGGTGGCACATGCCTGTAGTTCCAGCTACTCGGGAGGCTGAGGCAGGAGGATTGCTTGAGCCCAGGAGTTTGAGGTTGCTGTGAGCTAGGCTGACGCCACAGCACTCACTCTAGCCCGGGCAAAACAGTGAGACTCTGTCTCAAAAAAAAAAAAAAAAAAAAAAAGAATTGAGGAGAGTGAGGCAGACAGAGGTAGAAGTGATCAAAGGTCTAAGTGTTTGCATTTTTCTTTATGGGTGGGGTGAAGATTGTTTAGAAGCAGCTGAAGTGCCCCTACTTATCTTTCTTTCTCTTTTCCCCTACCTTTCCCCTTCCACAGAAGTGATGCAGCCCTAGAGGAGGCAGTAGCAGAGGTGCTAGACCATCGACCCATTGAGCAGAAACACTGCCCTCCCTGTCATGTTTCAGTTGAACTAGTGGGGTCCTGCGCTACCCTGGTGACTGAGAGAATCCTCCAGGGGGCACCAGAGATCTTGGACAGGCAAACTGCAGCCCTTCTGCACGGTGAGGGTAGCTTCGGGATTGAGACTTGACTACTTCTATTCCCATCCAAGAGAAGGGAGAGTGGAAAAGTCTAGACTCCTCCAGCCTAACTATATGCTCTCAAAGCCATTCAGCTCATACCAAAGGATGGGATTCTTCTGGGGGACAATTAGGCTTTTGTTTAAAGGCCTATGGGATACTTTGTTGGAGAAAACAGAAAGGAAGCACAGGGCAACAGACCCAGAAGCTTCCTATTAGCGTCACTGTATAATGGAAGGACTAGCCAAAGAAGCAAGAAATGGATTTTAATACTAGTGCCTCCAGGAAATAGTTATATGACCTTGAGCAAATCTCTTAACCTTTCTTGTTCTCATTTTTTCTGTTTGTTAAAAAAGAGAGAGAGAGAGAGAGTTGGACTAGATTGTCTCTTCCAACTTGTAAGATTCTTTGATGGAATTTGGCCTACAGAAGAGATACCATCTCTCTAAGCATACCAAAATCTCCAAGCATTAAGATGCTCAGGCTCTCTTTCTACCTTTTCCCCATTTCCCTGCCTACATTTTAGTTTAGATTTAGGAGGTCTTATTCAGAACACAGTCCCAGTTTCTCGTTTTGTTTTTAGTGGATTTGCAATACAAGTCTCCTGTATTGTGTCCATTTGGTTTGAAGGTTATGTGTATTGTAGTGGTCGTGCATGGAGGGTCATAGGATTGGAGTTCCGCCATCTCCCTTCTCCACAGGAACCATTATCTTGGACTGTGTCAACATGGACCTTAAAATTGGAAAGGCAACTCTAAAGGACAGCAAATATGTGGAGAAACTAGAGGCCCTCTTCCCAGATCTGCCCAAGAGAAATGACATCTTTGATTCCCTACAAAAGGCAAAGTTTGATGTATCAGGTATGAAGTGTTAAGCTGACTTCTCTACTTCCCGCATGAGAAAACAGGTGGGCAGGCCTTGTTCATTATATTCTTAAATAACATTAAAATACTTTCAGAGCATGCATAAAGATTTAAGCTTTACACCAGAGAGAAATGAGGTAGCATGAATCTGATCATGAACTAATTTACTGGATTGTTCTATCTTGGCTCTTAGGTAGGATGAGGAGGAAGATATTAAGAGTCTTAGAGGTTCCAGTCTAATCAGAAAATATAAGACGTATAAATAAAATATGCTGAGGGTATACTAAATTATCAGAGTGAGATCTATATAATAGGTTAGGGAAACTAAGAAACGTTTAGTGTGATTATGCAAAAGACAAAGGAAGAGGACAAAAAAAGCTTCCATAATCTACCCAGTTACCACCTGTGGACATAAAAAAGAAGAAAAAAGAAAAAGGAAGGTACCACATGTACTTTTAAAAAATTTAAACAGGCTAGGCTTGGTGGCTCATGCCTGTAATCCTAGCATTTTGGGAGGCCAAGATGGGAGGATTGCTTCAGACCAGGAGTTTGAGTCTAGCCTGAACAACATAGCAAGACCCCATCTGTACAAAAAATAAAAAATTAGCCGGGCATGGTGGCACGTACCTATAGTCCTAGCTACTTGCGAGGCTGAGGCAGGAAGTTTGCTCAAGCCCAGGAGCTTGAGGTTGCAGTGAGCTGTGATGATACCACTGTATCCTAGCCCAGGCAACAAAGCGAGACCCTGTCTCAAAAAAAAACAAAACAAAAAAAAAATTGAAACAATACAGAAAGGGGAAAAATCAAAAGTAACAGCCTCTGTTCTTGCTTTTGCCCTTCTCTTCAAAGTCCATAGCTCTAAAGGTAACTATTGTCATCCATTTATTTAAAGGTAGTTTTTGATTGTATAATTACATTTTCAGTTATCTCTTTGTTCATTGCTCCAGACGGAGGCTATGTTTTCCCTCTTCCTTGACTCATCTTGGTGTCCTCACCTTCCTGGTCTTGGGCTCCCCTGTTTGACCCCTACTCTCACATCCACTTTTTAGGACTGACCACCGAACAGATGCTGAGAAAGGACCAGAAGACCATCTATAGACAAGGCATCAAGGTGGCCATTAGTGCAATATATATGGATTTGGAGGTAAGAGCAAGATGTTGGTGTGGGTGGGGAGAAAAAATCTTTAGTTATGCATCTAACCTTGCCCCTCATTCCTGGCTCACCTCCAAAATATATCTTTTTTTTTCTTTTTACTTTTTTTCTCTTTTTCTTTTTTCTCATTCACTCACCCACCCATTCTCTCATTCCCGCCTCCAAAATATATCTCGTACCTGTCGTCTTGTCTCCATCTTCACTGTGACTGCCACAGTCCATCATCTGTCACTGTACCACTGTAGAAGCCTCTGTATTGTTTTCCCTGCCTCCACTTTTGCACCCCTACAAACCATTCTTCCCACAGCAGCCAGTGTCTTTCTAAGATATAAATCAAATCATATTGGATCACTCCTCCCTTTACTGCCCTTTCATTGTACTTCTAATACAATCTAAAGGCTTTACCATGGTTTACAGGGCCCTACCTGTTCTGGCCTTGTCTTTTTCTCTGGCCTCATCTCATTCCAGCCCCACTCCTGCACTCACAATACTGTAGGCACACTGGTTTTCTTTCTGTTCCTCACACCATTAAGCTTATTCCCAGCTCAGGGCCTTTGAACTTGCTTTTCTCCTTGCAGATTGACTCTTTCTTATCATTCAGTTCTCAGCACAGATGTCTTCTATTTTGGGAGGTTTTTCCTGACTACCCTAACTGAAGTAATATCCCTTGTGCTCAAGAAACCTCTAGCAGTTACCTTTTTTTTTAAATAGCATTTAATAGACTGAAATAATCTTGTTTCATAGTTTCCTTATTTATTGTGTATTTTCCTATACCAGTTCATCAGCTTCACCAGAACAGGAACCCTGTTTCTTTTGCATCTGCTGTATCTCTAGCACCTTTGACGGTGCCTGATGCATAGTGGATGCTCAGTAAATTTGGTTGAATGGGTGAATGAATATAACCTTAATGGTGGTGTTTTAATACCTAGTTCCATGTCATATTAGTTTAAGTTATTCACCTGATCTGAACATATACTTAAATATTTAAATAATCAAATAAAACAAAATAGCATGGTCTCTTCCCTTAGAGTTTATAACCTTGCTTGGGAAACAAACATTGGAATATAAAAGGCTTGCCAAGTACTATAACCATAGTACAAATTGACACATTTCAGAAATGCCAAGAATCAGCCAGGTGTAGTGGCTCATGCCTGTAATCCCAGCACTTTAGGAGGCCAAGGAAGGAGGATTATTTGAGCCCAGGAGTTCAAGACCAGCCCGGGCAACATAGCAAGAGCCTGTCTCAAGAAAGAGAGAGAGAGAGATAAGAGAGGGAAGGGTGGGAAGGAAGAAAGAAGAAAGAAATGCCAAGAATAGAGAAAAGCCCTGATCTGAAATAGGTCATGATATTATTCACTGGAGTAAATGCTACATGAGATTTTGGAGAAGAATATAGATTGTCAAAGAAGGAAGGGCCAAGGATGCACTTGTTACATGTCTGCTCTTATTTGTATGCCCTGTTATTCTGTTTTAGAATACATATCCCCACAAGGCAAAGACCTTGCTTGTTTGATTGCAAAAGCAGGAGAGCCTTGAACATGTTGGGCACATTACATACATTATCATGTTTTCATTCTTAAAACAATCATATTTGGTTAAGTGTTGTATCTTTATTTTACAGACAAGGAAACTCAGGTCCAAGGAGGTTAGTATACTCCTTGATCATATAGCTAAGAGGTAATAGAGCTGATTTTCAAATCAATTCTGTCTTAATCCAAAGCCTTTATTCTCCCCATTCTGCCACACTGCCTCCCAGCACACAGATAACAGAGAGTAAATACTAAACATCTTTTTTATGGAGCACAAGTCCCCAGTTAACATGCAAAGAAATCTTGATAAATATGTTTTGTTGATGATAACGAGGAGGGTCCAGCTATAGCCTTCATCCCTCTCCATTTCTTTCCTTTCAGGCCTTTCTGCAGAGGTCTGACCTCCTTGCAGATCTCCATGCTTTCTGCCAGGCTCACAGCTATGATGTCCTTGTCACCATGACTATCTTTTTCAACACTCAAAATGAGCCAGTGCGGCAGTTGGCTATTTTCTGTCCCCATGTGGCACTCCGAATGACGGTGAGTCTCTTGCCCTTCTCCAACCTGAGGGCCTTACAGAGCTTGTCTGTATGCACCTCTGTGCTCTACAGCTTTGTGCTATAAGGACGTCTCCTTGGTTCTTATATTATCATATTTACACAGAGGTCCCTTGACCTGTTTCCAGAATCTCCCCTCCTTGCTTTTTTTCCATTCTCTCTATATGGTACCATTGTTGAGAAAGGGAGATTCCAAAGAGACTTACATATACAATTCCTACTTTGGAGGAACTTGAAAGAAATCTGGTTAAAAGGAAATGTTAGGCTGGGCATGGTGGCTCACGCCTGTAGTCCTAACACTTTCGAAGGCCGAGGCAGGAGGATCACTTGAGCCCAGAAGTTTGAGGTTGCAGTGAGCTATGATGACGCCATGGCACTCCAGCCCAGGCAACAACACAGTGAGACCCTGTCTTAAAAAAAAAGAAGGATATGTTATCAATCTGGAGTTAAAACTCCATTCTTGGTTTAATCATTAATTCCTCACCCCTGAAAAATCATTTCCTTTCTTTCTACTCTATTGCCTTGGAAATTAGAAACACAAGAGAAACCTTTTTTACTACTTACCATGCAGGAATTAATTAATTATTCTGTATAGTGTGAACTCTGCAGAGAAGTGATCTAGGACCAGCTTTGTTTTCCTTCCTGATCTTCCATTTGGCCACCTTCCCTACTTCTTCCCCTTTCTGTTCCTCTGTTGGTCGCTGATTATCCCAGGAAAGAATTTAAAAGTAGGTTTAAGACAGTTCAGGAATTCTTAAGGTTGCCTGGGCTATGCGATGACCACTAAAGACAAAATACAGCCAGATGAACCTTTGAACTCATGGAAAGTGTCTGCCCTTTCCTGCCTCTCTTTGCCTCTGTCCTCTCCCCCAGAAAGCAAATGTGATTTCATTTAGTGTAAGGTAGTTTGGCATTGTGAAAAAAACTACAGCTTTTAAAGTCAGATAAATGTGCTTTTCTGCTCAGGTTTGCACTTGCTCTTTGAGCTAAGGCAAGTCAGTTGACTTCTGAGTCTGGAAATGGCATAATGGTACCTACTGATTGGTTTTATGTGATTGTTAAATGTAATCTCATATGTTAAATACATTGCTAGGCACAGAGTAAGCCCTTAGTACATAGTGGCTCTTACTAATCCTGTCAGGAAGAAAAGGGTGCTTTGGCCATATGAAGTGCCTCTCCCACCTTCCTGAATCTCATCCCCTCTCTGCTGCTCTTCTGAAGCTGATGACTCTGTCGTTGCCCAGGATGCCTCTCCGCTGGGAAACGGGAGTCGTCCTTTCACAGTCTGCCCACCATCTTCTCGCTTCCTCCTGTGTTAGGGGTAGTATAATATATTGATTGAGAATATTGGCTTTGGTGACAGACCTGGGTTCAAATGTCAGTTTTGCTTCTACACAGATCATGACCTTAGGCAAGTTACCTAATCTGTCTAAGCCTCAGTTTGCCTACATGTAAGTGAGGGTAATAGTAATAGGTATGAGGAAAGTGAGACAGTATTTGTAAATGGCCAGATTTTGCACCATACTTGGCATATATCCCACCCCCATTTTGTTCTATTCATTCTTTCTGCCTCTCTCCTTCCTCTGACCTCTAGACAGATGCTAGTCCCATCCCAGCTAAGGACAGAGTTCAAGTTCTTGAGCACATGTATATACTTGGAAACAACACTAGATTAAAAGCTAGGGGTCTTGGGTTCTGGTTCAGATTCAGCCATCATCTACATGATTTTGCTCAAGATACTTAATCTCTCTGAACTCTAATTTCCTTATTAATAAAATGAAATATATGATCTAAAACATTTCTTCTGTTTCTAAAATACTGTGTATATTAGTGACGTTCCTTTTGTTGCAAGCAATAAAACTGAACTCTGGATAACTCAATTTTAAAACGTTTTCTTATCTATAAAGGAAGCCTCTCACTTAGAAGCCTCAGTTCTTTGCTACACCAAGTTATATATCATTTCCCCATTATTGTTTCCTCTGTAGATCTGTGGAGTCCTGGAAAGCTCCCACTCTCCATCCCTGAAGCTGACTCCTGCCCCAAGCACCCACCCTAACCTCCAAGCCTATCTTCAAGGCAATACCCAGGTCTCTCGAAAAAAACTTCTGCCTCTGCTCCAGGAAGCCCTGTCAGTGTATTTTGACTCCATGAAGATCCCTTCAGGGCAGCCTGAGACAGTGGTTGTGTCCAGGGAGCAGGTGGACAAGGAATTGGACAGGGCAAGTAACTCCCTGATTCCTGGATTGAGTCAAGATGAGGAGGACCCTCCACTGCCCCCCACACCCATGAACAGCTTGGTGGATGAGTGCCCTCTGGATCAGGGGCTGCCTAAACTCTCTGCCGAGGCCGTCTTTGAGAAGTGCAGTCAGATCTCGCTGTCACAGTCTGCCACTGCCTCCTTGTCAAAGAAGTGACTGTTGGGAGGGCAGGGGATGGATGGTGGGTTAGGTTACGTGACCCACCTCAAATGCATGTTTTGAGATGTGTGGAGATTCAGCAATTGTCTTCATTGCTCCAGAATCTGGTATACTGTTTCCATAAAACTGGGAAGAGAAAGATGTGAAAGAAAACAGCTGCTTTAAGAATGGCTTTCTACCTTTTTCCCCAATCTCAACCAATCAGACAAATTTTATTATTTAAATCTGCACTGACTTCCCTGTATTTCATTTGCCAGGGGCACAATGTGGTATAGCCACCGTCCCAGCAGAGTGGGGCAAAAAGAATGTAGACCCCAGAAGTGCCCTCAGTAAAGATCTTGAACAGAACCAGTATCTGTCATGAAACCAAACATTTATCAATTGTCCCCATGTATTCATTTATTCAAGTATTTATTGAATACCTGCTTCAAGCAAGACAGAAAAGAGAGTGGGTTTGGAAATTCTTATTCCAGTTTCCAGCCTTTAGCAGATTTCCAGCTCCATGACTCTTCTTTCTGCCCCAGGTTAGGTGATGGTGTCTGATTCAGAGATGACTGAATTTCTACTCTGAGCTTATTGTGACTGTTTCAGGTCCTCTTTGGGAGCAGATTGGAGGCCACTGTCTTCTGTCCTGATCAAGTGGCCTGGCTCTCTGTTCCTTTGGGTTCCTCTGTCCCAGAGCCAACAGGAACCTTAAAGAGACCCTGAAGACCCCTGATTCTTAAGAATTCAGGTGGCACCCAGGAAGACCTTAACCTCATCGGTGTTCTTCCCCAGAGACAGCAGAACTGCAATGAGAGCCCCGGGTCTGTCCCCTCCCTTAGCAGGTCTATCAATTTCTTGTCCATCTCTTTCTGTTCTTGCTCATATTAAAAGGAAGCGTGGAGTTCAATCCTGCCGCAAACTCTGTGTCTTTTGGCAAGGCACTTCACTATTCTAGGTCTCATTCTACCCATCTGTAAAACAGGGTTTATATTAGATGTACCCTGGTATTCTGTGATCTGCCTCTTGCTGCCATTCTTTCTCTCCTCTGCTTCTCTATTTTTCTTCTGTTTTCCCTGGGAATGTTCGGGGTCGCTGGATTGTCTATATTTCTGTATGATTGTACCAAGGGACTCAACCTCATGTAGCATGTATAGGGGTATGATTTATACCGTAGTGGCCCAGCAGAGAGCTCCCTCCCACTGACTTGTTCTGCATGTTTAGAGTCTCCCTTTTTTCTTCAGACAAACCCATTCCCCCCTTTCCTACCCCACAGCTCTATTCCATGTAAGTTGCCAACAATTTCACTGAACAGTGGGGTGTGTGATGGTTTTGGCATGACATCTTCCAGTATAAGGGGGACAGTCTGACTTCACTTAGAGGATATGTCTGTAGCCATTTGGAAGGTAAAAAATAGTGGTGCGATCACTGAACCAACCAAAGGAATTTATGTTTTGTAACTTGGGTACTTTATTTTGCATTTTATTAAAGTATTAAATACTTTTTTCCTGTTTAGGGTCTTAGTGTCTCTTTTTTACAACTATAATCAAGCCTTTCCATCTGCTATTGTTTTAGCCTCCTAAAGATTCATCTCCCTTCTTCCTACTATATCTAGTATCTTTCTCGGTCAACTATTGGGAATAAGGAGCAACAGGCTTCTATTTCCCCTCATCTTCAGCTTTTCCATTAGTTTATTTCTTCTTCCAGAACCTTCTTTATACATCTGTCTCCCCAGTTTTGCTTGTACTTGAAAAGTAGACCCAAGATAGTCTTACAACCAAAATGGTTTCTACTGTTGCTTTTTTTTTTTTTTAAAGAGCAGCTTTCAGAAGGTTATAAGGAATCTGGAAAGGAGAACAAATTCTCTTCCTAGACTCACCCAAGACTAGCCGCCCTAGGAAATGTACTCTCCTCCCCCAAACCCGCCCCCTCATGGGAGACAGGGTTTTTCTTTTGGGCAAACCTGCTCCTTGGGAGGGGAGGTGGCAAAACCTGTTTGAAGATGAGGTTACCTCCCTTCCACGCCTCCCTCCACCTTGGAGGCAAGAGCAACAATAGCTGAGACAGAAAAAGGGTAAAGGAGTGCTGGGGGCTGGAACAACCAGCTTCCCAACAACTCTGTGTTTAAAGAAGACAGGAGGCCTTGTGACGATGGGAACTGTACAGGAGGCAGGAAAAAAGACATTCGATCTTGGGTAAGTAACATCTTAGCCCACTTGATTAGAAACGGAGTGAATAAATAGTCTTAAGGGACGTCCCCACCATTCAGCTCTCACTAGGTGAAATCTAAGGTGTTCCTCCAGGAGACAAGACTGTAAGAGAATGAATTTGCAGAGAAAGGATGGGGTGGCTCTAGGTAGAAAATATCGGTATGGTATGGAACTGAGGAACGGGATTCCAGGATAATTCCCTAGTTTAAAAATAAAGGAAGTTTCTGTATTTTATATCTGATAAATCTGCACATTATTCTCTAACCCTTACCATCCAGAATGGCCATCAGGAAAGCTGACCCAGAACTGAGTTTAGGTCCAGGTTCTCCTTCCCGGCAAATCTTTCTCCTTACTTTCTTCCCCTACCCCTCTGCTTATGCCATTTTCCCCTAGCCACTCCCCAGTACGGTGGAGGAAAGGCAGGCCTGACAAGGTGCCATCTTTCCCAACTTTGCCCAGTGGTAGCTGGGTGGGTCTGTCTGGGTTCCAGCCAATTGTAATGTGGGACATCACTCAGCCCTACTTTGTAGGTGGAGCAACAGCCATAGAGGTAAATATGATTAGCTTTACATTCCATCCTTCCTCTGCTCCTAAACCCAATGGTAGGTAGGTAATCTGCTGCTAGCAAGTGGTGAAGGACGGAGAAACATCTCTTTAGGAGACGAGAGATCTGAGTTCCTTTTAAGGCCCACCCTCTACTCTGTACCTTAATTACTGTTCTTCACTCCAATGTCTCCACCTACTACTACCCAGTTCCCTTAATCTTTTCTTCTGCGTCAGAGAGAATGCAGAAACAGCAGAACTGGGAGAGGCTCTGAGACTTGGGGAACTGGAGCTGAAGGAGGAATGGCAGGATGAAGAATTTCCTAGGTGAGGAAATGTGAGGGCAGCTGGGAGAAGGGAGGGATGGTGAATTAGAACTTGAAGGGGGCCAGGCATGGGGGCTCACAGTTGTAATCCTAATACTCTGGGAGGCCAAGGTGAGAGGATCATTTGAGCTCAGGAGTTTAAGGCCAGCCTGAGCAATATAGCAAGACCCCATCTCTACAAAAAATAGAAAAGTTAGCCAGGTATGATAGCGTGCACCTGTTGTCTCAGCTAATCAGGAAGCCGAGGCAGGAGGATCGAGTAAGCCCAGGAGTTTGAGGTTGCAGTGAGCTATGATGATGCCACTATACTCTAGCCTGGGCCTCAGAGAGAGACCCTGCCTCCAAAAAACAAATTGAAAGAAAAAGATGAGAAAAAGAAAACAAAAGTGATAAAACCATGGCACGGAAAGAGAACCTATAAATTGATACTTGGCTTGATGTTAGCCTATGTCTCTGCCCTCTTTTAACAAACACATTGACTGCCACACTAGAAAAAGAAAATTTTTCCCCTGGGGCCATAGTGTTTTATTAAAACAAAATGATCCTTTCTAATTTGTTTTTTTTTTTTTTTTTTGCCCTTTTCCATCCTTGGTTTGCAGTACATCTTATTTTATTTGCTTCTTTATTTATTCATTTGATCTCAATGTTAATTCAACAGTTTTCTACATCTGATTTACTAAGAGATGGCAAAG